GATTTCGGAAGTGGTTTGCCATTGCCTCCATCCTAGGGCTGAAAGAGAGGGACTGGCCCACAGTCAATCAGATGGCCTGGTGCCCAAGGCAGGAGTAAAACTCACAGTCTCCTGATTTCTAGCCTGATGCCTTAACTACTACACCAATCTGGATCTCAATCTAGTCTTCAGCAGGTTGAAATGATCCAACCTTGAGACCCCACCGTGGCATTTCTTTAGTGTTATTAAGCTTGGTTAGGGTTAACCTTAATTTCTTTTGGGAGGGGCTGAAGACAGCTTGAAGACAGCAGTTGCCTTGCCTTGTTTGCCCTTGGCCATTGGTGAAGGCTGACTTCCTTTGTATCCAGAGGTTTCAGTTAGTGGCCTTCATTCACTCTTCCTCTTGGTCCTTCTCTTTTCTCCTGTTATCCCAGGAAAAACCTTGGCTTCTTTTGTGGATATGAGGGTCTATGTGAGGACCCTCCAAGCACTGTCCAATGCTCAGTTCCCAATCGTTGCATGATCCCGATATCCACCCAAGGTTGTGGTTTCCCAAGCACATTTGATGGCATTCACCTAACATATTGACTCATTGCTGAGTAAAGAGAATTCCTAAGAAATGCAAACTTTTCAGTTGTGAGTGATTCATACCCCGTCTAAGCGTCTGCAGGAAGGGAGCAAGGTCCAGAAGCACCATGTCCTGCAGCCTTTTAGAACTGGGCCATTTCAGAAAGGAGAGGGAGGGGAAGGAGTGGTTAATTGAATATTCCCCCTTGCCTGAAAAGAAACTCCCTACCCCTAGTTCGTTTCTTGTTTCCTTCCCAACTGCTTAGATTTCTCCATGAAATAAGTTGTTTGGTTTATTGCATGAATAGGCTGCCCAACTCCAACCCAACTCTGGGTGGCCTATACAATAAATAACTTGCTTCGATCCATAACTGATTTATTATTTATTATTTTAAAACATTTTGCCGCGAGCATTTTTCCTGACCTGTTCAGGAAATTTTTGTGCCTCAAGGCTGGGGTGAAAAAAAAGGGGGGGGGCGTGGACCATTTGTTTGCCCCTCCTTTATTGCTGGGATAAGGGGGGAAAACATCCAGGGGTGTTCTGCTAAACCTCTATGCTGAATCCTGAACAGGTTTTCTGCCCTGCATTTATATGCGAGCCATCTTACAAGCTATGTTTTTAATCAAGACATGGAGAAGTCAGGCCATTTGTCAAGGTGGGTTTCCTGTTGTAGCCTTGTTTTCTTTTAAAGAGAAAGCAAGCGAGCTGGAAGTGGGCAGAAAAATATCTTCCAGTAGCTCGTCTGTGGTTGATCTTCTCTTTCTGTGAGGATGGCTGCTCCTCTGTTTTCACCAAGGCCCAAAAAACGGAGGGGCCAAACAGTGATTCTCGGAGATCTGATTACTTTCCCCAGAATCTCATTTTTGCTCCCAAGGTTCAAGCCGAAATTCTTTGTACAACCTTTTCTTTTTGCAACCATGTGACCTTGAATGACTTTGGAAGTTGTTGGTTCTCCATTTCTGGAGGTTTTTAAGAAGAAGCTGGACAGTCACCTCTCATGGAGGGTGACCTCCTGCCCCTTGAACAGTATGAAAGTACAATTGGTCTGTGATGGCCTGAATGGAAGTCCATCTGCAGATGCTTTCACACCAGCACTGATCCTATTGAAGCTCCTTCAGGGTGCCCTGTCTCTGTCACATTTCCAAGTTCAAGGAGCAAGCTCCATTAAACGGAGCCCCCCTCTGGGGTTAAGGAGCAGAAGGTGGAGCAACAGCCAGAGAAATGTACACTCACTTTTAATCCCCTTAAAGCAAATCCTGTGGGCTATACCTAACGATGCAAAGATCTATGCTACACACATATACAGTATGCATCTCCCAGGAGAAGCACCTAGGAATAGATAAAGATAAGGAATTTATTTCATTTGGACTTATATGCTGTTCTGCTGATTTGGACCTGCCGAATGGATGGGAAAATCCAGGGTGTGTGCCCAACCCCCAATTCTTACTTTTCAGAATTTTGTGGTACACTTCAAACTTAAAAACTGCATACAATGGTAGAATGTGTTCCTATTATTTGCATCAAAGGGAGAAAAAGTGTCCAAACATGCATGATCTCCAGGAGCAAAACAGCTTGGAAAGAAAGCATTGTTCATTAAGAGAAGTGCATGTCACAATAAACGTTTTGGATATCCGAATTGCAGACTTTATCAAGAGTAGTGGTTTAGATGAGAAACTGAGTTAAAGCCCAAACTGGATGAGATCATTGTTGCTTCTGATAGAATCAGATTGGCACCTTATCCTGCTCTTTCTTCCTGGTTGGAAAGAATCTTTGCGGCACCAAGGAACCCGTCGTTGCTTGGGGGGTGGGAGGAACAAATAAAAAGAAAAAAGCCGATTGAGAAAAAGAGGAAGTGATGTTGAGTATCTTCAAGGGAGTATCTTCTCCTCTCTCCCTTCTTTGGTGCCAACAAGAAGTTGAGTATTGCCACTGGAGTTGGCTTGAATGTAAACCCCACTGTGTCCCATGAAGCTCACTCAGAAGGTTGGCTACTTTAATAAACCAAAAGAGTATGTCTCTCTAATTAGCAGAGATATTTCTACATGTGCTTTTAATAGTTTGGGGAAAATATTTGCATAGGACCATCTTAGAAGAGCTACCTTCTCCCCCACCAAAGAAGGTGCATTGGTTGACAGAATGGAAAGATATGTTCTTCTAAACGAATTTAGCATCAGCTCAGCGAACATGCAGGTCATTGATCAGCTAGGATACCTTTGACCAGACAGTGGCAACCCCAGAATTGTGGCTAGCGAGTTCACGCCCAGAGGATTTGCTTGCAAGCATTAGCCATCCGTTGATTTCAGCTCTAGGAATGGCAGGAATGGGGTGCGGTTTGTCCCCTGTGCAGAATGACCTGACAGCTCTCTCTTTGATTGGTTCTCCCCTTTCCAACAGATTGTTTGCTGCCAAATGCAGTGGGTGCATGGAGAAGATCGCCCCGACGGAATTCGTCATGCGGGCACTGGAGTGCGTTTACCACTTGAGCTGCTTCTGTTGTTGTGTCTGTGAGCGGCAACTAAGAAAAGGGGATGAGTTTGTCTTGAAGGAAGGGCAACTTCTATGCAAAAGTGACTATGAGAAGGAGAAAGATCTGCTCAGCTCCGTCAGTCCGGATGACTCCGATTCAGGTAAGCGTCCCTTCTGAAAAGGACCATCCTTGTAAAGGCCTTGCTTGGTGGGCTTCCAAAATGTATCTGGTTGGCCACTGTGTGATACAGGATGCTGGTGCAGATGGACCTTTGGCTGGATCTGAGCTCAGGGCTCTTCTTAAATCTGCCTTACAACATTTCCACTAATCAAAGTTTTCAATAGAAGAGAATACCTGTAGCTCAGGGTTGAACTGTGAAGTTCTTGGTGCTGTCTGAACTTAGAGAGCACCAAGTTCAGAGAACAACAAGAACTCCACAATCAAAGGTTTGTTCAAGATTCCTGATCCCTCATATATGCCTGTCTGTCATGCAATTGCCATCTCTTCTATTATCCTTCAATATAGTGGGAAAAATTGATGGGCATCCTATATCCAGCTATTTCCCTTCCCTTGAATTTGTGGACCTCAAGATATTCAGTTTGTTACAGGAAGATAAAAGTACAATACACATCTCACCAAATAAAGGATGACACCTGTAGCTGGAATCACAAGGGCTTTTTTGCAGTGATTAGAAAACTGAAATCTGGCATATGATAGGAATATGAGAAGCAAAGGAAATCTGATCAATAAAAGTGTTCTGTTTCATTTTTTCAGGGAATCCTTAAAAAAAAGTTGGGTGCCCTAAATCCAAAGTTGCTATTTTATGGATTTTGTATACATTTCCCCCATATTTTATATTTTTTATGCACTGCTTATATAAGTGCCCTGGTGCACTCTTTTCTAACATATCCTGCCATAAGATATACTTTTCTATACAATATAGAAAAATATGTAAATTTCCCTAATTTAAGATTAAAGTTCAATAGAGCCCTAAGATAAAGGCTTTATAATACAACTTTATTAAATATACACTGATTCTTATATAACCTGACATTTACAAACTTTGAAGGTTAGAGCAATGGACTTTCTTCCACTAATACAGCAGAATTTCTGATTATTTAAACACATTTCTAACCCATGTAGTCCAAAGTCTCCAAAGACTTGAAAATTGTCTTTCTTTAGCTAATGCGATATTAACCATAATAATAGTTGTGTAGTTTGATTACAGTCTTGTAGCTGAATCCAAGGAGTCATTAGGGTTCATAAAGCAAAAGTAAACAACTTATGCTTAATTTAATGCAGCCTTCAACCTAGAAAATACAGGATAACGACTGATATAAAGGGAAGTTTGGAAGGAGAGGACTAATTCTGCAAGTTTACAGAATGGGCAGAATATACATGTTAGGTGACCCTGATTGGTGAGTGTGCATGCCATAATTATAACACCATCGCCCTAATTCCTGGGGTAATTTTGCACCAATCTAATTAAAAAAAAAAAAAAGCAGGATGGATAAATCCAGCCACTGTGGTTTATAAATATGGCATAGTGTTATGTGTAAACCAGGCCATGCTATTTAAGAAAGCAAAGTCTGGCTTAGTGCAATGTGTGAATTGAGCCTCTGAGCTCTCCTGTATTTGCATGATATATCAACAGTGAAAAGTGATGATGAGGATGGGGACATCAAACCGACTAAAGGACAAGTGAACCCGGGGAAGGGTGGTGATGACGGAAAAGATCCAAGGAGGCCAAAACGGCCACGGACGATACTCACAACGCAGCAGAGAAGAGCATTCAAAGCCTCCTTTGAAGTCTCCTCCAAGCCTTGTAGGAAGGTATGTCTTTGAGGAGGAACACCCTTTGTCATCCCTCCAACATTTGCCATTAATCATCGGTACCATTACACGTCTTTAACAAAAACACATGTTTTGCACACAGAAGATTCTCACCTTCATCCCAGGCACGCTTGGGATAACTCAGGCGTATTGCTTATTTATGGGGCCGGAATGCCCCCAGAAAGACCTTTCTTATCCCCAAAATCCATTGATCTGGAAGGATTAAAACACAGAGCAGGCCACGTGATGCACCTTTGTCTTCTCTAAATGTTGTCACCACCCAGCATCTACTGCCCCAGGCAAGTGATTCATTCTCCGTGAGCGTAGCACAGCCTTGTTTCTCAGCACAAACCCAGGTCCTGATTGAGTTTTGAACCTGAGCTACATGGACAGCTTTCCCTTTTCTCCCAGCAGCCAAATCTCAAGCTTCAGGACAATCTTTACTTCTACATTCCCTGAGTAGATGGGATATTCATGCATGGCCCACCAGCTCACTCAATCGGGGCCATAAGACTCACCAAGACAAGCACAGTCGAGCTGAAACATTTGTATCGACATGTGTATGCAGGAGAAGCTGGAGTTAGCAAGACCTAAGCCAAGATATCTGGTTTATAAGTTTGCAAACACCCTGAAAAATAAGATTAATCTTGCAGCCTTTGAAAGTTTCAGTTGCAGTCTCCAGATATCTTTTCTCCCTGGGAAATTAAGATTCTGCAGAAGCTTGCTGCAACATTTAAGTTTGATTCTTTGCATGCTGCTATGATTTCTTGGAAATCAGGGCCCAAACCCTGCCAGGTATCGCCACTGAATAGATTAAAGCTGATCCAGGAGTTTCTTTGGATTGTGGCAAGCTTGATTTTTATAGATTTGGCCTTTCTTGCAGGTGAGGGAGACTCTGGCAGCTGAAACAGGTCTCAGCGTTCGAGTAGTGCAGGTCTGGTTTCAGAATCAAAGAGCGAAGGTAAGACTCTCCCTCAAGGAGGCCACCAAGGCCACCCTACATCAACAAGGGAAGAGCGAGAGAAACCAGGGTGATTTTGGCTCTCTTTCCTTTCTCAGATGAAGAAGCTGGCTCGGCGGCATCAGCAGCAGCAGGAGCAGCAAAATTCGCAACGGCTCGGCCAAGGTGAAGCCACCGCTGCAACTGAGTTGGAATGCTTAAGGATGGCTAATTTAATTGCGAAGCCAACATCCTGCCTACCTGCTTTATGTTCGGTTCTAAGGGGAGGGCCAGCGTGATGCAAAATAGTCACGACTCGGATCCAGGATACAGGCCTGAATGGGGTTGGATTGCAGCTGGATTGGCCAGGGAGGGATTTAAAGGGAGTGGGCAAACTTAAGAGGCTCTGAGCTGATGCAGTATGAGCTGGGGGGTGGGGTGATGCAGAGTAGAAAAGGCCTTTTAAAGAAAGCTTTTATATGGGAAGGTTAGAAAGTGTCAGCACTTCAAAGCAGTACAGACAAGAAACCAATTTCATGAGTCCTAATGCTACCTTTATTGCAAGGTTACAGTAACAGCATCTAACACGTCTGAAAGCACTTCTCCCCTCCCCGGCTTTACTTTCCAGAGAATTAGGGAGGGTTCCTTCTGAGATGCTTCTCACGCCCCTTTTCCTTCTGGGGGCTCAGCTGCCTCTTCTCTGACTGTTGCCTGGCTGCAGCTCTTCCTCCTGTCTCCCAAGGATATTCTCACAGCCTGCTGCAGGAAGTTAGTCGTGTGAAGCCTATTTTAGGGTTCTGTGCATTTCCCATCTTAGAATAACAGGAACTGTGCTGCCAATTTTGGCCAACTCTGTATTCAATCTGGCAGTGTGGTTGGGGGAAATATAACCCCCACCACCCCCAAAAATGGATATCACGGCTGCAAATGCCCAGGGGTTGCAAGCGGTCCACTTCTGTTTTAAAAACAGTGGAATTGCCCATGTTCTATATGTTCCACAGGAATAAATGTGGGGCTAGACTTCCCAAGGTAGGTAGGTAGGTAGGCTTCTGAGAATATATCCTGGCATATTGCAGCTCTTGTTCCCTAATAATAATTAGCATAGAGTTCATCCTGTCTGCTTTGGGCCATGCTGGCACCATAAGGCGCCAGTCAGGGTTGGCAAAGTGCTGCAATGGGGACTGGACAAACCCAGGCCTCTGCTCCACCCAGCTTGCAAAATCCTTCAAGCGAGGATGCAATACCAACCCCTGAATAAGGATGAGAGATGCAGCCGTCCTCAGACAGGCATTGCTCAACGTCGGAGTCGGCAGTCAGGATCGTGGGAGTGGAGCTCAAAGAACAGTTGGCAACTTCTCCTTCCATCCTGGCAGAAATGAATGGCTGTTTTTCAAATAACCCTGAGATAGGGCTGAAAGGCTGGGGGCTTTGTGAGGGAAGGGGGAATTAGGAAAGGTCTTCAGCAGAATCAAATCCAGACTCCAAATTTCATTCAAGTGGAGGAAAGAACATTTCTAAGGGACTTTCTTTCCACAGGGAAGAGAGTTTTGCTAGATTCACAGGGGTGGAGTGTGTTGTTCTGCCCTTATTTAAGGACATGTTGGCCAAGGGAGTCCATGTGCAAACATTCTGTACAGTCCTCTCTCCAGGTTTGAAATCTCACAGTCTTCCCACGCTCAGTTGCTCAGTCTTCTCCTCCTCTCTGCCTCACCATCTTTCATTGTAGATGGAAAGGAGTCTGCTGGGGGTGTGGAAAAAAAATCAACAAAATCTTCACTTCCTTTTCATCTTTTTCATTATCATTTGTTTCCTCTGCCTGGTTTGTAACCAACCCCTTGTACATTATTTTGAGCTCTGTTCCTCTTTTTGAGGGGGTTCCAAGCCAATTAGGGATCACAGATTTGATATGATGAAACAATCATTTTGGGTAGCCAGATGGAGTTGTGGGATGACATCACTTCCTGCTTAGTTCTTCATAGTTTAATCAAGAATCTCATCATGATGATATGGGGTTGGTGGGAATTTCCTGAAAATGTGAACCATTTCAGTTCTGGGCATTTCCTGTTTTTATCAAGAAAACGCTGATGAATATCACCAGGTCTTTGAGTCCTAACACATATGGCTATTTTTTAAGGTTGGATGTACTGCCATTCTGGTAGGTTTACTACAAGCGGAGCATTAAATGAATCTGGTTTTGTTTTTCCTTACAGAAGTAATGTCAAACCGAATGGAAGGGATAATGACGTCTTACACACCACTTGCGCCACCACAACAACAGATTGTAGCAATGGACCAGAGCAACTATGCCACTGACCCTTTCCAGCAAGGTCTCACCCCACCACAAATGCCAGGTGACCACATGAATCCTTATGGTAAGACTCTCTGGGAACCAGCTGCCCTTGTCATGTGCAAGTAAGACCTTCAGAACATCTGTTTAAACTCTGAGGTCTTCTGTTAACAACTGGAAGAACGTAGAAGTGATAAGAGAGCCCACAGAGTGCAACGGTTAAGGATGAACTCAAGAAACACCTGTTCGTCCATCCTTGGTCATGGAAACTCTGGGTGATTTTAGACTGGTCACTTTCTTTCAGCCCAACCTACCTCACAAGGTGGCTGTGGGGAAAAATGGGAGAAGGAGTGCTGTGTAAGCTGCCTTTATCTCCTAAAGGACAGCAGGATAGAAATCTAACAAATAACATTCAGATATCATATATATTTTAGAGTCTTTCCCCCCTTGCTTGCTTTGGAATTGTGCACAAGGAAGCAGAGCTCCTAGAACTGGATAGATCAATTCTACCCCATTCCCACATTCATCTGGGATTTTGTTTTAATCCCACCCACCCCCAAAAGGATCTGAACACCCATTAGTGTACTGCATTCAGTGCTAGTGAGAGTGTTATAGGATATGAAAGCTTCCTCTGTGGTTCTTCCCTCTACCTGTTCCTCCAGATCTCTGCACCCAGTTGGCCAATGTAGGAATTAAATAAGCTGCTCTCTCATTTCCTGGAGCAACGATAGCTGTCAGAGATTTTGAAAAATGCCATTGCCTTCAGGGCAAATGACATTTCCTAAGGATGCTTTTGCTTGGATTGCCACCATCCTCAACCCACATGCCCAGGAAGAAGAGAAGAAGAGACGTAAATAAATGAATCAGTGGGGCCCAGAGGGTGTCTGGAAGAGTTGCTTCTCCACCTTGGGCTACTGATGGCAAATATTGACCTATTTAAGAGATCTCTTGCATTTGTGTGGTGTAGATGTTGACCCTGGTCTAGCAGATCTCAGGTGGGTTCCATAGCTGACCAGCTGCCCTCAGAGAAAGTTCAGCCATTGTTCTCTTTTGCACCTGATTATGGTGCTCCACTTTGAGCCAGGCTAAGAAAGAGCCGTAAAGAGTTAAACCACTAGAAGTATTATTCTAGCTATGTGCTTCTTATTTTAAGGAGGCATGGAAATGGAGAAAGTGGGGGGAACAGTGATCTCAAGACCTGTCTTTTCAGTACCACATCAGAGAGAAGGCTGTATCAGATGTGGTTTGGCAGAAGGCTGGTTTATCCTCTTGCCTTCAGAACTCTTCAGCATGCAAATTGATAACAGTTCTTATCTCACTTACAGCAACAGTATGTGGGGTGGAATGTCTAGATTCCCAAACGGGGGGTGCAAAGTTGGTGGCATGAAAAGGACATCCCAGTTTATCTCTGTGGCTGAGCAAGGATCCACCCTTCACCCATCAAGTTGTATCCCGTACGAGGTCTTGCTCATGCCTGGGTTGAATAATTCAGAGGTCCAATATTCAGTCTTACTTTATCCATCAGGCCATAAAGTTCATGGGCCAGACCAAAGAAATAGGTCCTTCTCCTGAGCAAGGTGATGTTTGGAGTCCCATAAGTCCTGGGAAATCTAGTTACTATTGCCCACTTCAATGTCATCTGACACCTCTGCCTCATTCACTTTTGACCTCGTTCACCCGGATGGGGTTCTCCAAAACAGCTCTTGTCTGCAAAAACCCATGATCAGTTTTGCCCACTGAAAGTTCTTCACTTGCTCCATGCCCCTTCCTCCCCATCGCAAAAGATCTTCCACATTTTGTAGCTGCTCAAAGCTGGAGTCCTGTCTGTGGAATGGTTGAAGATGAGGTTCCAGAAAGAAATGGAAAGTCAATATCATTGACCTAAGAACTGCATAGTCAGGGAGCAAGGTTTATTCTGCAGTTTTACAACAGCTGTAGTTTTCAAAGTCAGCCCATAAGACCTGTTGCAACAGTGTAAAGTTATCTAGTCCTCATGATTTATAACTTTATATCAGAAATGTATGCAGTGTTTTCTAAGAATGGGAGAACTTCTTTTTTTCAAGCTAGGAATGATGGTTGCCACCCTGATTTCCCCATAGAGGCCAAAAGGGTTTGTGGAACAGGTTACAAATGGTGGTGGGAATGCACGTAAAAGAAATCACACACAAGGAAAAGGCAGTGGTAAGGAGAAGGAAAAAGCAAACACAGGCACTCGTTCTTCAGTTTCAAGCTCTTATAACAAATATAAAGAAGAAAAATCATGACGGTAGATGAAGCCGAAAGGAAGAACGTGTAGTCTCTCAGCAGAGCTGATGAAATATTTCTGCTTTTCTCTGTTCTGCTTCCTTTTCAAATTCCTGCAAAAGGTGATGATGGCGAATAGCCCTTGAAGACGTGGGTGAATTTGCCAAACTCCCTTTTCCCCTGATTGCAATTCATTCCCTCAGCTTCTTTTGCATGCCTGCATGAATAATCCACCTTACCTGACTATGGCTAGGGATGATGGGACTTGGAGTCCAGCGCATCCAGCGGGCACCCTGTCAGGAAGGCAGAGAGACATCCCCTGGGGCTATTTAGCTGTTGGAAACAGCCTTGGCTGCCTTCAAGTCAGCATCCATGGTGATCATCAGAACTTGCTTTTGGAGTCCAGCCAAGTTTGCACTGAAGCTGGGGGAGGGATGAAACATGGACACCCCCCCCCTTCTCAAAGCTGGGCTTCTCCCTCCCCTCTTGCTACCCCTCTCCATTTTCCTTCCAGTGGCAAGTTTTATTGGCACTGACACAATTTGATCCTGCAATTCCCGAGAGCCACAGTTTCCAGCGATGGAATGCAGGATCTTTTCTCTTCTGCCAACCTCCTTCCCACAGATTGTTTGCTCATGTCAGTTAGAAAAGGATCTCTCCCAGTCTTTCTCCCTCTCTCTTTTCAAACTCTTCTGAAATGCTGTAGACTGCAATGCAAACAAATTATTGGCAGAGGGCCAGACCATTTCTTGCTTCCCGCCTGATGATGCTATCATCGTACCATTAGATACAAGAGCAGGGTCTGCTTTTTCTCTTCCTCTTATTCCTCAAGCGCAAATCATTCTGATTTTTGAGCGGAGGAAGAGCCGCTGAAGAAAAGGTGTACTCTTCCAGATGATTGTGACAGCTCAAAATGCACATAGGGCATCTCAGCATTATTATCCTTATGGTTGACTTTTTTTTTTTTAGATTTTTTATCCCCCCTTTGTTATTTTTATAAATAAGGCGGTGAACATACCCCAACCTCCTTCCTTCTCCTATTTTCCCCACAACAACCCTGTGAGGTGAGTTAGGCTGAGAGAGAGGGACTGGCCCAAAGCCACCCAGGTCTTTCACGCCTAAGGCAGGACTAGAACTCATGGTCTTCTGGTTTCTAGCCTGGTGCCTTAACCCCTAGGCCAAACTGGCTCTCATTTATTCTTCCCAGAAACTGAGCACACCAGAGATTAAGATAGGCTTCTTAAAAAATTTCTCCAATAGTTTGCTATTAGTGGTCATTCTTTGGAACAGAAGTATATCCAGATGTGTGAATAATGTGCAGAAATTCCTGTTAGGTCTAGAAACCCTAAGAGGCAGCTAGTGATGCCTTAATCAAAAGTTGGCTAAGTCAATCCAGGTTTGCGGTGATGCAAAAATTGTAGCATGAATATTTCCTGCTCCCCAGATCTCGCTAGACTTCTGATGTTACCAAAATCCTACGAATTGAGTTTGCTTGGCGTGTGCCGTTTGCAAGTTCAATGTTAGAATCCCTCCCAGGAGAGAAGGAGAGCATTTGCTGTTTGCAAGGAAAATTAGGACAAGAGGGAGAATTGTTCTCACTAACCCTCTTCCTGATGTGTTGGCCTTCAAGGCTAAAATGTGTTGGACGCAACATTTCAAACTTACTTGAAGGCCACCCCCAACCTTCTAAAACGAACCATATCATGATGCATTTCTGTGGTACGGGAAGGATTTAAAGCTGATGTTTCTCTTACTGTAGCTGGAAATGGGATGCTCTGGGAACACGGTGGTCACACGAATTCCCTGCGTGGGCGAACCACGTGTGGCTCACCTTCTCAGAAGATTGTAGCACGCTCGGTCCAGTCAACCAACCTCTTAATGTGTCTGTATTCTGTTTGTCTCTCTGCTCTCCCCAACCCATCAGGAAACGACTCCATTTTTCATGACATCGACAGCGATACTTCTTTAACGAGTTTGAGTGACTGTTTCCTGGCTTCCTCAGAAGTAAACTCCATGCAGGCAAGGGTAGGAAATCCCATTGACAGGCTCTATTCTATGCAGAGTTCCTATTTTGCCTCATGAAAATCAGTGGAAAACCGACCGGGGTGAACCGGCCCAGCTCTTCTGAACGCAGCACCGACGTTGCAAGGGACTCAAGGGACTCCTTCCTGTTTCCCAGCTCAAAAAAACTCGTACAGCCATATTTTCTTATTTTCCTCCACACTGACATTGGTCACTGTGATGACAGGAGCATTAAATTAAGGGAGTCTCTAGCTCCAGCAAACGGATAGACGAAGAATCCTCATTCCAAATGTCAAAAGGACCACACATCGCTCTCAAAAACGAGGTCACCAGGGTTGGACCAAGGAACGCTCTTGCTCCATGGTTAGTTTCTTCTTGAACCCCATCACGGCAGACGCAAACACTTCCCACAAACATTGCTTTGGGATCTCTTTCTATGGCGTGGGGCTTCTCCACGCTGCCCTTGCGAGGTTGGCCAAGCTGAAGAAATGAATTGGAGAGAACCGCCCCTCTTCTGTTCTGCATGTTTCACCTCCCGCCATGGACTGACAACCCTCAGGATTGTGAGACAATTTGACATAGCTGTGATTCCTGCAGGAACATTCCTATTTTCCCTCACTTTTCCTTTTTTCCTTTCTTTTCTTCTCCGTAAAACCAAACCAAACCAAAAACAGCCACATTTGTGGCCATTAATTTATAGTCTTTATACTGCCTGGATCTGGGGCGGGGGGGAGGTGGAGGGGAGGAAAAAGTGGAAAATAATAAGATTAGGGCAAGGAAAAGTCAGGCCATGTCATAATAATAATATTTACTGGAGGGGAAGAGAAGGAGCCAAAAAGATGAGCAGAGGAGGCAAATTTAGATTTGTTACAACCTACTATCTTTGAAAGCAATTTTATAAAAGGTAGAGCAAGAGATATTCTGGAGCACCCGATTTTATTTCATGTTGTTTGCCATCCTGGGTGTGTTAAAACTTAAAAAAAAAAAAATGGTGAAGTAATTCAGTGCCAAATTTCATGCCTCCACCCCCATCTCCCCTAGCTTTGATTGACAGTCATCTGTTGGTGATTCCCATCTGTTTATACCAATTTGACAGAAATACCCTGCAATTTCTTGCTCCAGGATGTATTAATTAGAGCTGGCTTTCATTTGGATCTTTTTCCTCAATGGGGAAAAAAAAATCTCTCCTCCCCCTCACAGCCTCCCCCCAATTATCCTTCGTATAATTGCAAAAAGCAAGCCGGGATGGCATTCTGTAGAGATTTACCCACGGTGGACGCCTATTCCGAAGCAGCGCGGTTATTCCCAATACACGTGGACCAGTTCCTAGTAGATATTACGCCTTGACAGATGCAAAGATATGAAATACATTCTATGGTGCTTACTGCTAAGAAAAGAATGCAAGGGAATTCTACCCTTTTAGCTCAGATGGAAAACCAACATCAGGCCTTTAAGAAGTATGTTTGGGTCATGCTCCAGAAAGGGGATGGATCTAGGACTAAAACTAAATGCGCATTGATTTCACTTAAATTTAATTAAAAAGCATGTCAGTGAATTAAATATCATTGCTACCCATGTATTGTACATTTCACAACTTCTGCCGTGTTTTAATTGCAGTTGGGTGAAAACTGGAGTACAAGCTCAACATCAAGTCTTTAGGGTCTTCCAGGCCATTCTGGGTCCACCAGTTTTCCATCCCTGCATTGATCATTCTTCCCTAAACTGAGTTCCAGATGTTTTGGTCTACACATCCCATCAACCTCAGGTAGCATGGCCCAAACTCCCACCAGATGTGGTCACCGTCAAATTCCATGCCTGATTTTATTATATGATTATATTATACAATTGATATTTGTTGGGAAACGTAAACTGGAGAGTGCTCTTGACTTCATGTGCTGCTTATGGGTTTCTTAGAAGTATCTGTTTCGGCTACCCTGGGAAGGAATGCTGGATAAGATGGCCCCCAGGTTCTGCAGAATCTTGATATGGTCTTTTTATATTCATAAAACAAGTTGAGAAAGTGTGGGTTAGCTTCGCTAATTACACACCTATTGAGTTGATCAGAGTTTGCCAACCTGGAGGCCCTCCAGCTTTGTGGACTTCAATTCCCAGACCCCCCAATTAAGATAGTCATTGCTGAGAATTCTGAGAGTTGAATGAATGAATACCTGCCGTTCAACACCAGTAAAGGCTGATGGTTGAAAGTAATGAGAATAACATCAGATTCAAAGGCCAAGTAGACCCAAGCAAAACTATTCAGACTTGCTTTTCCTTTCCCGTGGTATCCTGGCAGAGATAAATGTCACTCTTATTTGTGGTATGGATGATTCCCCCAGGAATCTACTCGTTGTATGGTTTTAACCTGGGACTTCAGGGTCAAAGGTTTGAAAGCAGACTCTTGACCTTCTCTTGATTTGAGGCTTGCTCTTGCATTGTCAAGGGGATGCCATTGGATAAGTCAAGCAGATAAGGATCAGCAAGCAAAACAGGTAGGAATGTCTGCTGATGTCTTGGAAGGACAGAACTTTCCTTTAAAAATCTGTGTTGAAGTACACGTGATGACATCCCATGTGGGATGTCAGACAGCCAAGAGTTACAGCAGATTATTTGTTCCTTGCCCTGAATGTCCCTGCAGAGGAAGCACATGCACACACATACATGTGTCTCCAGTCTTTCAATCATGTTTTCTCCAGTAAGAAAAGATCAGTCTGAAAGTGCTAGTGAGGCATACTTACAATATGAAAGGATATGATTGACCAGGCTGCCATGTTCGTAATGCTGTTAATAATGGGGGTGGAGGGACAAGGAAGGAATCGTCCTTGGGAATTTTTCTAAAATGAACATAAATCACTGATTTCAAAGGGGTCACCAGATGGGATGTTAACCGGAGGAGGGATTTTGCTACTCCAGATGCGTAGAATTAATCTGTTCAGTGATGCTATTAATATAATACTATGCCACTTAGATATTCTCATTGGCTGTTGAGATCTATGCCCTAAGGTTGTGTTCTCCTAAAAGAATCCTGGAAGCAAAATTCAGCACCTTTACTTAATGATATTTCCCAGGATTCTTTCAGGGAAGGCACCAGAGTTAAACCAGCACAAAACTGCTGTAAATTTTAACACATAGGGAAAGGGCGCCCTGTTAATATTCCATAGCTCGGTGGGGAGAGACACTGGTGTGCAAGGACATTTCTCTGTATTCTGTAATGGGGAGATTGGAATTCCTTGCATTTGTAAATCAAAAGGAAAGAGCCCTATGAATAAAATGTATTTTTGAATCAAAGAATGAGATGCAATTAATAAAAATAATAAATAATGCTGTGTTCCAGAGCATATTAACCATATTTAGTGATGGCACAATAAAGACTTTAAAAGCCATTTTGAAAAAACTAAGCATTATCAATCAGCATAATATGAACACATTATCTGCTCTGGTTCTTGTATTTTCAGAAATTGGAGTTTTCCATGTGCCCTCCCCCCCGTCCCCAAAGAATTCATCGTATGCCAATAGATCTTTTCTCAATATTAAGTTCTAATTGATCTATCAAGTGACAATGTAGTATTGTGTTTTCTTGATCCATTGGTACTTTTTGTGTTTTCTGTGATGGGGAACTTGCATCCTTATAAGGAAATGTCTTTTTAATTTGTGTGTATCACCAACGTATCATAGCAGGAAATTCAGATTGGTTGAAGAATGTAGAATGGAAAATTATCATTGCCATTGCTTTCCAAGCAGGGGAAAAAAAATGAAAGCAGTCAAAGAGAAGGTGGGAAACTAGAAACATCTCAAGAACTTTATATAAGTTCTAGAACATGGAGGATTTCTTGGTTCTTCTGCTTTCAAACATTGTGAGCCCTGCAGTACTCCTTCTCCAGAATATCTTCAGTAAGCTGTTCATGTGTCCTACTTTACAAAAGATAGTTCTATACTTCAGGGATGGGAAACCTGTGGCTCTCCAGATGTTGTTGATCTACCACTCCTGGTAGCCACCAGCAGTATGGCCAGAGGTGAGAAATGCTGGGAATCATAATTCCCAGCAATATCTGCCGTATGCTTTTGCTCTATTTCAAAGGCAGTCAGAGAACAATGCAATACATTCTCTTTGAAGACCAGCCCAATTTTGGTTCAAAGAACCATAAGACAAGAGAGCATGGATTTTAGCAGCATCCTAGAGAATAATGAATTGCAGGTACGCTTCACCTGGTCACAGTCTTCTCCCTTGTGGTGAGATACCTTGTCTCCTATTTAAAGCATATGTCAATTCATAACTACAAATTAGTGTGTTTAAATTTTATGCAAACCATATTGACCAATGTTTTTGGCAAGGAGAAAGTGATCATTCGTTTAAGTGCTCCTTTCTTTCTTGGCATTTAGAATATACATAACAATCGGTGGGTACTAGGTATATATTTAATGCATCGACCTACCAAGGAGGTTGTAGTCCTCATAATTCTCAATAGAGACCTCAGAATGCTGCATTCAGTTTTGTCTCCAACTTCCTTAAGAATCTTGCCAAACCCTTAGCCATCTTCTAAAAGATGGAGAAGCCATTTCCTCCCACTTGGGGACCGGTGCTATCCTGCATTCCACAGAACTTCAGTTGAATTAAGAATCAGTTGCAATTTGCTGCAGCCATCAAGTTATTTCTCTATCGCCTCCATCAAGGTCTCAATATACATTGATAAAACACTACGACAGTAATTGGCCTGCATACACAAGTTGAGCTCAACTGCTTTTTTTGCAGTGTTGCAATAACTGTGCGTGATCCCTTCAGTACATCACGACAGGAAACACATGTTGACATCATCTTCTCAAATGTTTTCTCTTTTTATATCTCTGTTGGGTCAGCCTTTCCTTTGATTTCTTGCAGCGATGACCCAGGCACATGGATGAAACATTGCACAAAAGTCATCTTGATTTAGGGTTTTTTGTATGGTCGTCTACAGGGATAAATTTTTGACTCGCCCTCTTTCAACAAGCAACTGTATTTAGAGCATTACCTTCCAAATGCCCTAAGCCAGGGAGGCTGTGTTTGGGTGTGTTTTTTAAATTCATTT